AGTTTTAGAAATAATAAAACAAAGACATCTACTTTCAGATTCTTGAATTTTAAAAGGAAATCCATAAATATTATTAATAGTATTAGTAGTAGTATTTGTAGTATTTGTAGTATGTTGTTGTTGAATAAAACTATTAGAAATTTGAATTTTCCCACGAATTTGATCAAATTTATCAGTATGTTCAGCGATAGATTTCATAACATCATTTTCAACTAATTGAAAATTAGCATTAATAAAAAGAATTTTAGCAACAGTAAAGATTTGAGCGTATTGAGTAAGAATATGAATATCATCAAAAATTAAATGATGATTTTCTAAAGGATTTTTAGTAAGTTGAATAGAATAATTATTTAAAAGAGAAGGAGGTAAATAAGGAGAAATAAAAGAAATATTTCCAGTGTATAAATTAATAAAAATATTTGTAGAATTTTTTTCAGAATAATAATTTAATTCTTTCATATATTCTAAATTAATTTGTTCAGCCATTGCTTGAGCAATAATAATAATTTGTTTTTCTAAAGAAAATGAAGTATTAAAGAAATCAATACTTTTAGATGGAATATGTGTTATTCTAAAATTATTTGTTTGATTATTTAAATGATATTCTAAACAAATTGTATTTCCCCAATAATATATTTTTAATATTTTTTCAACTCCATTTGTTTCAATTATACTTTTTAACTTTGGAAATATATTTTTATTTATTAATGTTGTACATTCATTTAATATTGAATTAAAATGTGAATTTTTTGCTATAATATTTAATTGTTCAATTAATACTTTAATTGGTTCTTTTCCAACTTCATTTTCATTTAATAAAATTTTATTTATTCTTTCTATAATTTTATCTTCTGCTTTGATTTCATTTGGAATAAAAAATGTTAATTTAATAATTCTCCATTTAATTTCATTACTTAATAATGCTATTTCTGGATTTTGAATTGTTATCCAACAACTAAATGTTTCTTTATTATGAATAAATATCATTCCTCCATAAATATCTATTTGATCACATTGAATTTGTTTATAATGAATATAATAATATCTCCATATTCTTTGTTCCAATAAATGTATAATTCTTTTATAATTTGGTTGTTTTATTTCAATATGTGGAAGTGGATATGTACGTTTTATTAATACTTCTAATGCAATTGATATTTCTGGAAATCTTGTTCGTTGTTGTATTTCTTTTTTTCCATTTTTTAATAATCTTTTTACAATTGAATGTAATTGAATTATTGACTCTTGACATACTCTATTAAATGTATCTATATCATGTAATACTGGATTTCTTCCTAACCATCGTGTTACAACTAATAATTTCCCTAATGAATGAATTCCTCGTTCTAATGCTATTATTATTTCTTCTCGATTCCCTGAATTTAATCCTTTAGATATATCATGTGCAATACTAAATGTTATGTTCCGAGTTATATCAATTAATGTACTTCGTTCTGTTGTTATTTCCATTGTACAAAAATTAATAATTTATTCAATCTTTTTGTTTTCTTTTTTTTTTTTTTCTTTTTGTTATCTTTTTTATCAAAATGTTTTATTCTTTTTATTATTATTTATTGTATTATTTTTTTTTTTTTTATTAAATCAAAAATGAAATTAATCAAAAAATTTATTTTGTTTCTTTCTCTTCCTTTCATGAATTTAAGATTCATTTCTCTCAAATCAAATAAAGATTTTATTCGTGTTTGTTATGCTCATAACATCACTCCTCAATCGTTCTAAAGGGTTTTCTCAATATATTATTGAAAATGAAGAACAACGTTCATTCCTTAAATTACATCAAAGTAATTCTTTTATTACTCCTCATAATCAACCAATTCATTCATTACAACAAACTTCTCAATACACTATCATTGCATCTTGTGATCAAATTACAATAAATAATTATAAACAAACAAATAATATATTTATTAATCAAAAATCTGTACGATGTCATCCTTGTTTACCACTTACTATTGTTTTACAACAACGATTAAGTAAATTATATTATGAATGGAATATCTTTGAGTCTATTTATTCAAAAAATCCAACTGATGTAGTATTTCTTCTTTCTAATTCATTTGCTTTATCATCAGAAGATGGTGTTAATATTTTTGATAATCAAACAGGAAAACTTCTTGGAGGAATTGTAGTTGAAGCAAATTCATTAGGGACTGATGGTGTTGATGTTTATTGTGGAGGAAAAAGTCAATATTGTCTTGACATGAAAATGTTTAAAAAAAGATGGGAAATACCAAGAAGTGGAACATTAACAATGAAGAATGGTATTGGTATTATTAAAGATTTATCAACAATTTCTGCAATAGATTTAAATGGAAAATATTTATGGACAATGGAAAAGAAGGGAGTAAATTGTGTTGAATTGTCAGATGATGGTCAATATTTTTTGTTAGGATATCAAAATGGTTCAATTGATTTGTTCCAAAGTCAAACAAGTACTCAATTATGTACCTTAGAAAGACTTCATGATGAACCAATTACTGCTATGAATTGGTCATCTTCTCAACTTCAATTATTAACAGGAAGTAAAGATGGATTAGTTATGAGATGGGATTATTTTAATAAACCAGAAATTATTAATACTGACGAATGGGAATAAAATAACAAGTAATAGACATTAAGATTGATTTTAGAATTGGGAACTTTTCTTTATGAAGGGATTTTTTTTTTTATGTTTCTTTTTATTTTGTTCATTGGTTTTTCATTACCTTCTTTTAAATTAATTTATTATAATGGTATAAAAAAAAAAAAGAAAAAAACTGTTTTTTTTTTCTCTCAGAAAACACTGAGAAATAAGAAAATGTAAAAATAGTTACTAAGAACTAGAAATTGAAGTTTAGAAAGGAAGTGATGAGTCATCAAGACAAAAAGCCTAAGAAAATCTTTTCATTAAGAGAAAGTTTAAAGGATAAATGGAGATTAATTTATACATTCTTTGATGAAAAGAAACACGAATTTTATGATACTGAACTTATAACCGAAAATAAAGATGGAATGATTCAATCACTTAATGATTTTGCAGAACGAATTGAAAATGATATTAAGAAAAAAAGAGAAATTGATTCTAATGAAGTTAAAGCGTATTTAGTTATTTTCTATGCATTACTTATTTATTTCCCACAACTCCCTTCAACAACAATAGAAACTTATTTAAGTTTGTTAAATTTAATAAGAATTTCATAGAAATAAAAAAAAAGAAAGAAGAGTTAAATTAATAAATAGATAAAACTGAACGTTTTTTGGCACCAAAAGTACCCAATTCAATTAAAACATTTGCATTTGAAGTTGTAATATATTGTGTAATAAAACCAGGATATGAAACATATTTATCAAAATTACTTGAATATATTGATTTAAATACATTTTCAACAAAAATTTTAGATTTACCATCAATGCCAACAACAGAGTTTACGTTTACAGAAGAAGTAGATGAAAAAAATCAACCAATTATTCAAATGAAAAATATTGAATGTTCTATTGCAAAATTAAATATTTTCTTTCAAAGACTTTTAACAGATATGAAATCATTTGAAATATTATTACCAACATTTATTCAAATATTATTATTAATGTTTCCTAATACTGCTCCAGAAATTACAAATAAATTAAAAGTATTTCCACAAGTTCCAGCTAAATTATTATTAGTTATTTGTGAAAATGGGATATGTAAAATGAATGCTAATCAAAGATTAAGAATTATACAATCATGTCCATTCTTTCCTTTAATACTTAAATTAATTCTTCAAGAAAGTTTTGCTTTAGTTCTTGAAGAACCTCAACTTCTTTTTGTTATTCGATGGTTTTTTTCATTTCTTTTAGATCCAGTGAATTCAGTTACATTAAGTAAATTAAATGGTCAAACAAAAGAACAATTTAATAATTTATTAAATTCAATCATCAAAACAACAGAATCATTTTATATTTTAGTCCCTTTAATTACAAGTTATCCAGAAGTAACATTAACTATTGATGGAAAAGTAATAAAGAAAGATGTTGTAGAATTTTTAAATGAATTCTTAAATATATTTATTGTACCATCACAAACTGTTCAAATTAAAGAACAATTAAAATTAAGTTTACAAAATTCATTAAAATTATATTATCAACGTGCTTTTGAAGCAAAAAAATTAAAATATGGTTATGTTCATAAAAGAATTACTTCTATTACTAAAACACTTTTTAAAACTTGGATTTCTTGGCCTCCTAATGATACTGCATGGGAAGAACTTCAAACAATATTTATTCCTCTTATGGCTATTGAAGGAGTAATTAATGTTGTTGATTCATTTTTTACTCATATTACCATTTGTTTATTAAATATTCAATATCCACAAAAACCAAATGATCAATTATTTACAAAAACATATGATAATGTTATTGAACCTATTATAGTAAATGAAGAATTAAAACAAATTACAACACCATTATTTAAAGAAGATATTGTTAGAATATGGAAATATTTATGGAAATTTATTGATATATCTGTTGATATTCCTAATGAAGAAAGAGCTGAACGATGGCATAATGTTATGTTTAAATCATTACAAATAATTCTTTTTTATGAACAACGTTGTGGTCCATCTAATTTTGAACTTCATGATATAATTGTACCATATTTATTAGCTACTGCTTCTAAACATCATTTTAAAGAAAATAATACATCACTTTGTCAAATATTATGTAGAAGATATCCACAATATACAGATAATATTAATGCAGTATTATTGGGATATCTTAAAAATGTTATTCAACAAGGAGATTTTTCAATATTAGCAGATATGTATGATTTATTTACTACTTCAATTAAAGGAAAAACTTCTATTCTTAATGATGTTTTAATATCTCTTAGATGTCTTACAATAGAACAATCTAATTCAATGGAATTAAATCAACAAATAAGAATTGCTTCTTTACTTCATTCATTATTATTTTATTCAAAAATTTATCCAACTATTAATACTTTATTATCAGATAATATGGGATATCAAGATATTTTAACTTTATGTTATTCTAATTTAATTCAAATTTTTACTTCTCCTGAAATTCAACAAACTTTATTATGGGGAATTATTGTTAATTTATTAAGTGCTTGTGAAGCTAAACGTCCAAATGATGAATTAAGAGTACTTTGTGATATGTTTCTTCAAAAAACAGTTCATTCAAATTTATGTTTATGTAAACAAGCAATACGTTCTTTAAGAATTATTTCAAGATGTTCAGAAATTATTCCAAATGAAATATTAACTTATATTGCTGAAACACTTTTAATATTTATTTCTAATAATACAATGGATGATACTGTTATTCCAATAGCCCTTGAACAATTAGAAGATTTTATTTTAGTACCAAATGGTGTATTAAGTCAAGGAATATCTGCTGCATTACAATCAGTATTAGTTCGTTTATCTGATAATACAAATACTTATGTTCAACAATTTATTCTTTTAATAGAACATTATTTTAATAGAAAAATTGGTCTTCCTTGTTGTGATGATTCATTTACACGTGATGTTTATTTCATTGGAAGAAATAAAGTTACAAGTGAAAATGAACATTCATTGTATATTATGCAAAATAATTCTATTTTTTCATTTACTGATAATGGAAGTAATGGTGTTGATGTTGTTGTTAGAAATTTATATGGAACATATCATTGGATTATCTCTTCAATAGAAAGAACAGAAGAAGTTACAACAAAAGAATTTAATTTTAAACCTGAAAAATTATCAAATGAAAATAGAATTTGTCCTTGTGATGGATCTTTTGAAATAATTTCAAGTGGAATGAATGATTTAGGTGAAAATATTGAAAAAGAAATGAAAGAAGAATTAATGAATATTGAAACAAATGCATTAAAATTAAATGCTAATATTTTAAAATTAAGTAATAAACCAATTGAAGTAGAAACTAAAAATATGGAAATTACAAGTAAATGGGATTATATTCAAAGTTTAGAATTATTGACAAATACTAAAGATCCTATTATTCAATTAACAAATGATAAAAAATTAAAACAATTATTATTTAAATTAGATTGTCTTCCTATAAGAAAAAGATATGCTTGTTCTTTAATTTATTTCAATTCAGATTCAAAAATGTCTTTATTTAATGAATGTTCTCCTCAATTTACTGAATTTGCTGGTTCATTAGGATATTTAGTTTCTAAAGAATTATTTGTTGGTAATTTCCCAAAAGAATGTGAAAAAGCTTATTATTATTCTGATGAAACTGTAGAAGTCACTTTTGCTCCAAGTATTTATTTTAAACAATCATCATTAAATTCTATTTCTACTTCATGTGTTGTTGTTTGGAATGAAAGTGAATTAGCTCTTGATACTTCTTTATTCCCAAAACCATCTACTATTATTGAAATTCATCCAAGAGATGATGGTATGTTTGTTATTGATATGTGGAGAAATGCTACTGTACCTGTCAGTGTTATTGACCTTACTGGTCCTTTACAAACCAGTATGGTTGTCCCCAAAAACTTTTTACCAATTCTTGTAAGAGAGACTGTTCTTAATATTTGTTATTTCAATTCATCTAGTCTTTCTCAGTTACAACTGAGACAATATGTATTTTCTGAAATTGGAACTACAAGTGATTTAGTTAAAAAAGCATTTTCATCAATCACTGCTTTGGAGTTGACATTGTAATTGAATTCTTTTTTATTTATTTTGTTTCTTTTTTGGTCGTATTTCACTTTTATTGATTATTTATTGTTTGAATTCTTTTAAACATTTCTTTATTTCTTTCATCAATTCCTCTTCCTCTTTTCATAATTTCTATATACTTTTCTTCTTTGTTTGTTTTTGTTCATCTTTCTTTTATTATCTCTGTAGTTTCTTTAATTTCTTTAATTTCTAATGTTCATTTTTATGGTTATTATATTTAATCTTTGTCATTAATAATTCTTCATCATTGTTTCTTCTTTCTTTTTGTATTTCTCTATTTCTTCTTTCTACTTATTTTCTCTTTTATTATTCTTTCAATTTCTTCATTTTTCTTCATTTTTCTTCATTCATTCTTCATCTATGTTTTTGTTCTTTGTTTCTTTTATATTTCATTCTTTATCATTTCTTGTAATATTTTTGATTCTTATATTTATTTTCCTTTGTTTTGGTTATTCTTATAATAATGTTAATTAAACATTTTACCTACATTATGGTATTTGTGTTTTTATCAACTACTTTTAATTCTACTGAAAGAGTGTTTAAATAAGAGTTGATTATGATAGTTATAATTATGATACAATAAGAATAACGTGATTATGAGTATTATTTTGTTTAATAATAAAGATAATTAATGCCTTGATAATGTTATAACAAATCTATTTATTTCTATGTGATTTTCATAACACTCATGGAGTGTAGAAATGATGTAAAAAGAAGACTTTTAACAATAATAAAAAAGAATAATAAAAAATAAAATAACAACGTAAAAAAAAAAGAATTTACCAATTTACCATTTATAACAATCTTTTTCACTGTTTCTTGGATGTTCCAAAGCACATAAATTATTATTCCAACATTTGTCATCACATTGATACATGTGAGAATCAGCTCTCATATGTTCATACCAAATATCATGTAGAGTTCTATTAGAATGCATTCTTTGTGCTAATGAAATCATACTATTTGGACTTAAATCTTTAAGATTATATTCTTGAGTTGCATTATAATTAAATTTCCATTGAACTTCAGTTTTATTTAAGTCAACATAATAATTAACATAACTTTGAATAACGCCACCTTTAATATCATAGAGTCTAATACTTGGATTAATACCAAGATAAGTATCTAAACTAGGTGAAAGAAAACCAATAACTGTTTTCTTTTTATCTTTACTTTGCATAATTCTATATGTATCTAAATGTAAATGTCCACAAATCATTCCAATTGTAATATCTGAATATTCTGTTATTAAATCTATTAATTTATCATCATATTGATTATACATTTGTTCTGACCAATTATATCTTTCTGAAACTCCTGGACAAATATGTGCAGCAATTATTACTTTTTTATTTTCTTCTTTATATTTGTCCATTGTTTCTTTAAACCATTTAAATTGATCAATTGGATCTGTATCATTTTCTGTTAATTTATTAAATGTATAATATAAAACTGTATTTAATACAACTACATATGTTTTTTCTTCTTCTTCTGTTCCAATTATTTCTTTTGTATAATATCCTCCTCTTTTAAATGTTTCTAATGCACTTTGTGGAAGCCATCTAGAATATTTCTTTGCTGCATATCTAAACAATGAACTTTTACTTTCATCATGATAATTTTCTGGAAGTGCATCATGATTTCCTAACATTGGAATAACTTCAAATCTATTAAATTCTTTAAGGAATTTAGTTGCATTATCAAGTCCTTCTTTAAGATACATTTCATCATATTCTCCTAATTTTCTTGGAAGAATATCTCCGTTATAAATTAATATTTTATTATGATTTTCATTTTTTGTATGATAATTAACAAATTTTGGAACAGATGTTAATACTTCATTTGTTGTATCACATGAATAATCTCCTATTTTTCTTGCTGTTCCTTCTCCACTTCTACAAACTGTATTTGGATCACTTCCTTCTTTATAATTTGCATCAAAATGAACATCAGTTACTTGCCAAATTTGGTATGATGAAACAATACTAATAAGTAATGTAATAACAATCATCTTATTGTTTTATCTTTTATTTCTTTATTTCTTCCCCTTTTTATCAGTTCATTTTTAATTTGGAACTTTCTTTTTGATGTAGATTCTTCTTCGTTTTTTCTTTTTCTTTCTTTCAATTACCATTTAATTATTTCTTTACTTTAATTCTTATTTTTTCTCTATTTTCGTGCTGACTTATTTCTAAATAATTGACAAGAAAAATAAAAATGTTCTGAAAAGTAAATAAAGAATTCCTTTCCTAACTGTTTATCAGTCGAGTTTCTTTGTACAAATTTTGTATTTCCTTCTAATTCACTTTTTTTATTACCTTGATTTTTCATCGTTGGATTCAACCTAAATAACCTATTTTTTCTTTAACACCACCAATTTCTTTGGTATCTCTTTCAACTTCTCTTCTTGTTTGTTGTAATTTCTTTTGTATTATTTAACTCATTTATAAAATGAGTTAAGAGGAGTAAATTTCAACATTCACTTTCATTCTTCAGCCATACAGTAATTAAGAATACTAAATGAATATATTCTGGATGGTTATTATGTGCTTTGAAAAAAAAATAATATTTAAACCATCAAAAATGGTTAATAAAATTAAAAAAAAAATGCAAGATTGACATAACAATATAATATAAATGTGAAGAATTTAAAAGAAGATATATTAAAGTGGTTTAACAGGTCATTAAACAAACAAATATCTTGAGAATTTGGCAATATCACTAATTTAAATTATTTAGTTTGAAGTTAAATGATTAAATATTCTTTTTAAAAACATAGATATGTTGTTTGTTAAATTTAAGTGTTTATTTATCTTATGAATGGAATTTTATTCTTTTTATGAATAAAAATATCAATTATCTAAATGAAATGATAAATTACTATTCAGTTCACAGAATAAAATTAATCGTATTAATACTTATTAGCATTTCAACATTACGACATCATCATTTTGATCTAATAAAAATCAAAAATGTCAAATAATAGATATATTTATATTTTGTTGTTATGTTTATTAA